ACACACTGAACTACCCTCCGCCCATTCTTTCTCCTTACATTGAGACAAGCTAGCCTCAAACCCTGAACCCTCCTGCCTCAGCTTTCCTAGCAACCGGAATTATAAGCATGCACCACCATGCCCTGCTTTAGGGCAAAAACCAAAACCCAAAACCAGAGAAGGTGAGTGGAGGAGGAGGAGGGGGAGAAGAGACGGAGGCAGAAGTTCTTGAGTCAAAGGACTTTGAAATCTTATTACACAGCGCGAGAATATTCTTCAGAAGAACTCAGTAACTGGAGGTAACTTGGAATTATCCTTAGGTGGTTAAAGAAAAATTCTCAAATGCTCAAACAACAACAAAACAACTGGGAGGAGGGTGTTTTGTGTTCAGGGCGCACGCTTCCTTTTAGGAATTCTATGGTAATTTACACTCCAAAAGAAAGGCATGATGTCACTAACATCAGAGTCTGCACATCCAAGGGAGGGAGCGAGGAAGCGTGGCTTTGCAGATACACGCACACCTTGTAGGGCGCTAGGGAACTGAGGCTTCCATTGAGCCCACTTCCAACTAATATCAGGCTTAAAAACGTTATTTACCTTTTTTAAAAATCACCTTCCTTTTGCTATAAGGCCACATGCATCACCTGTCTACATAATAACAAGCCAAAGGAACCGCAGCCAGCAGATTTGTCTGTATAAACATGATACAGACACAGACTAACTTTAACAGCATTGGGAAGAAAAAAAAGTAAACATGTACCAAAAAGCAGTAAGCGATCCTTTCGATCTTGATGTGGTCTTTGTGTATGAGAAGGAGAAGGAAGAAGAGAAATCAGTTGAGACTAAGAAAATGGAGGTGAGATGAGAAGTCAGAGCCAATAGGAAGTGTTGGCCAAAACATTTATGTTGTAATACTTCAAGCATTGATAGCACCTTCCCTCCTCCTCCGCCACCTATATGTATTATGAAGCACACACTTAACAATCACATCCATCTTAAACTCAGCGTAACACGCATGAACGGCTTCTTGGCAGAAACAAGAAAACAGGGAAGGTAAGAATTAGGGAGAAGGTGACATCACAGGGTCTATGGCAAAGATTTGTGGAGAAATTTAGCTCTGAATTATGCAATCACCAGACTGCTAGTGACAGAAATCAACTCTTGTTTTTGTTTTCTTTCTGGTGGGGGGGTGGAGAAGAGATGGGGAGACCTTTCCATTCCTTTGCTGCATTTCAACTTGGTGCTTTGAACTTACCATCCTCCAAAACCTACAGAAAACAGGCCACCCTCCAGTGACACTTGGCCAGAGGTATGGTGATGCTTTAACTGGATGGACAGATGTCACCAAAGGCTTCGTGGTGAATTTTTTCCTTAAAACCACCAGCCTCTTTCCCATTTAGCACTGTCAATTAAGAATTTGTATTCTTTCACAAGGATGAAAGTTGCTACCGAGCAAACACATAAACAAACATAAGCCGAGGTCAATCAACAGAATTCCCCAACTGAAAAGGTTCAAAACCAATTCAGTGTTTATAAATGAAAGTCGAGAAACAGGAAATAAATAACACACAAATGAAACACATCTTATAGACAGTGAACGACAAACAACAAAAACAAATCAACAATAGCAGAATGCTGAGGTAAGAGGCAAAGTCCCATATCCTAACTGAATGGTAGCACAATAATGTAGACTCAACAGCTGAAAGGTTATTATGGCCCAGGCAGCTATCCAACAGATTTGGAAACCCAAGATATAAGCAGATGTTAAATGCCATTACTACAAGGCTGCACAAAGCCAACAGCCCAGTGACACACAAGCCCTCTCAAGGGATACTGTCTGAGGATACACTAACGGACAGCCTATAGAATCCTACTTAGGCAAAGATTCACTTCACTGCACGGGATGGGTCCTTGAGGATAAGTGTGAGTTCCTAAACTACTAAACAGTGACCTGAGCTGGCAACTAATTCCACCTCTCTGGGCCTCAGTTTCCTTGTTTTGTTTTGTTTTTCTTCAAAAAAAGAATGTAGTGTAATCCTGGGGGGTGGAGGCTTCCCAAATCTAAGATTCTACAAGCAGTTTGCCACTATTTATGTAATGCAAATTACGACCCACAGCAAGACAAGCACGAAAAATGGGCACAGATCCTTGAGAAAGAGAATAACCGGTATCTCTTTTTTGTCTGTAAAATCCTTGTGGCTTTCATTAATACCAGCGTCCTAAGCTCTGGCGCTTGGTTTTCATTCGCCTCTTCCCATCACTGCTGGCTACAAGTGTTTGCAAACGGCCCTGCACAAGTTTTTTGATCACCCTGACCATCTTGCCAGATTCCTTTAGCCTCAGACCAGCTTTTGTGATAAGTCAGCTCTCCTTCCGACTCCCCATATCTACCCCCGACACCAGGATCACTTTTTTTTTTTCACTCTTCAACCCTGGCTTGGGGGTGGGGGGGGACAAGAGAGAGAGAGAGACAGAGACACAGAGACACAGAGATAGAGAGACAGATCGACAGAGAGAGAGAGAGAGAGAGAGAGAGAGAGAGAGAGAGAGAGAGAGAGAGACACAGCCCGCATCCCACCACCACACGTACAAGCCCAGGCCTGGCAGGTCCTGACGTGGGATCCCGCAGCCCAGAGCCTTATCAAAATGTTCGTATTTGTTGTCTTGACTCCTTATAAGGCGCTATTTCTTGAAGCTTTGCTAATACCCCCCACCCCAGTGGGCACCTCCGGCTCATCTCTCTCCCCAGAGTCTCCGGCACCCCACTTTGGGGGGGGGGCGATAATAATAAGAGGAAAAACTGGGAGAGAGCAGAGACTCGTCAGAATTGCAACAGGAAGGTGTGAGGCAGCCGACAGCAGTCCCCCTCGCTCCCAGGGGATCGGCTCTGGGGGCGTCCCTCACACACCCATCATGACACGCACGCGCCGAC